GTGCCTTTGCCTGACATGCAGCCACATATCACCAAGGACTGTGGAAATTTGGTTGTTTTCTTCAGGCAGTCCTCTTCATWAATCTCACTGGAACGGCACCAAACAAAAGTTCCAGCATCATCACCTTGTCCAATGCAGATTCTTGACTCATCACTGAAGATAACTTTCATCCAGTCATCCACAGTCCATGATTGCCTCTCCTTAGCCCATTGTAGTCTTGTTCTTTTTTGTTCAGGTGTCAATGATGGTTTTCTTTTAGTTTTCCTGTATTGAAATCCCATTTCCTTTAGGTGATTTCTTACGGTTCGGTCACATACATTGGTTCCAGCTTCCTCCCATTTATGCTTCATCTGTTTAGTTGTACTTTTTCGGTTTTCAAGACAAATGGCCTTAAGTTGTTTGTCTTGATGCTTTGATGTCTTTCTTGGTCTACCAGTACGCTTGGCTTTAACAACCATTCCATGCTGTTTGTATTTGGTCCATATCTTGGATACAGCTGACTGTGAACAGCCCACATCTTTAACAACCATTCCATGCTGTTTGTATTTGGTCCATATCTTGGATACAGCTGACTGTGAACAGCCCACACCTTTAGCAACCATGCGTGAAGAGTTACCTTCTTCAAGGAGTTTCACAATCCTCTCTTTTTTTTCAAGAGACATTTCTCTTGTTGGAGCCATGGTTCTTGCCACTCCACTTCGTCCAGCAGCCCTCCAAGGTGTCATGACTGCAGGTGTTTTTAACTGCAGACTAATGAGCAGATCTAATCTGAGGCAGGTGTCCATTTAGGGAAAGGAAATTGACTGGGTGTGTCCTTATTTTCTACCTCCAATTTGAGTGATTCCATACTTTTTCCTCAGAAATGAGTGATTCCATATTTTTTCCCTGTACTTGGTCAATAAAAGTAACATTCACTGACTTCCACAATGTTTTCTCTTCATTTCTTTGAGTGTTCCTGAAAGCCAACAAGTTGCACTTTGGAATGACCTTATTATTGTATCATGTTTTTGATCTGAGTTTYTTTTACAGAATGAAATGTCTGAACGAGTGCTCATCCAAGACTGGTGATTCCAMACTTTTTGCCAGGGCTTGTATAACATTGTTTGTCTTCGATTCAGTATTTGACTCTGCCTGGATGAGACATATAAACCAACCTGATCCAATTTGGGATTCTTCGTTCGAAGATGAACCTGGCTCCGTTCTGCAGAGTTCTCTCTGTGTCGGGGATAGCTATGAAATGAAACAAGATAATAACAGTAATTTTATGCTCTGTGACAACGAGCCCAAGCACAAAAGGTAAAATGGTATAGTTTTTTTTTTACATCGTGAGCTTATGAGCTGGTTCTGTCTGTGAACATAAAGAGATTTGACGTTTGTCGGCTAAATCTAGGAGTGGGACTTACTTTTTCTGCCTTATATTAAAGTGCTGCCATTGTTCTGTTGCAGAATGAGCTCACTGCTCCTAAATAATATTACATTCACTCAGTTCTGCCAGTTAATCGTTTCAAAAGTGGAAGGCTACTTTTTTTTCTCTCTAGCGAAGTGATTCATCAAGTCCCATTATATTCCGTCTCGCTCTTTAAAGTTGCCGGCTGCGTCAAAATCATGACGAGTCTCCACCTCCTGCTGGATCTCACAGCAGCCTCGACAATCAGATCTTATTACAGCAGATTTCCACATCTATTAAACGCACCTGATGGAAACGACAACGAGGAGGTGGTCGGTGCCACGCCCACCGCTCCATTCTCCAGGAGAGCGGTGTCCTGTTCTGGTATGATGCACGATTCTAGCAGTTTAAAAGTCCTCCATCGTGCTAGATTTTTATATTTTAAGTACTGTAGATCTAAAACCTGGGTTTGCTTTTCTACATTCCTTTTTCAGATGTGTAAGCCGCGCTAATGCACCTCCGTACAATCAGAGAGGCAAGCTTTAGATTAGTTCTATGGTAACAGGCTGTGTGGTCTCTCTCTTTAGTGTGAAGTACAGATCGACCAATACAGGTTTTTTAAAGGCCTAAATTATTTTGACATCCCGATATGTGCTGACAATTTTTTGGGGGAGGGGCTGATTCTTGAAGGTGATATTGGTTTTTCTTCCTCCATTTACATGATAAAAATAACACAGTAACAAATGTTACACAAGTCTGAATTTAAACAAAAAAGGAACATTTATTAACAAAACAAACAAAACATGAACAATGGATAGCAAACAACGTAGAACAGTTATATACCATTACAAAACAAACAATCTTAAGATTGTTTTTATTGTATCTATGAAATTTTACTCGTATCGGCTGATAGCGATACAAGAAAAAAAAACACAAACATCGGCCTGAAATATTGGCCAGCTGATGTATCGGTTGACCTTTAGTCTGGTGGAAGTGGTATCTGTGGTTTCTAAAATTGAATTTAAAATTTTGATTTGAAGAGTTTTCCATTTTTCCTCCATCCCAGAGAAGACGACAGCCTTTCTACAACGTGTTCACCTAGGGCTTCTTCTTTGCGTGATACAGCTTTAACCATTATTTGCGGATGGCACCGTGAGCTGTGTTTATAGGCAGTGATTTGTGGAAGTGTTCTTGAGCCTTTGCTCAGAACCAGACCTGCTTTAAATATTTCATTAGTGTGCAATATTGACTTTCCGTCTTGTCTTTGGGGAGGGGGTCAAAAGAAAATGGTAATGAAATATTCTTCTTTCAAGTATTTGTCTTTCATTTTTCTTTGAATAATTTATTGTTCAATTTAAAAAGAAAAAAAATACAAGAAAAAAAAAACTCAAAACAGAACAAAAATARAAAATAAATAAATAAGCATTAATTGAGAGGCTTTGTGACCCCCTGGCAAGTCCCCCCGTGGCCCACTCCACAGTTTGATAACTGCTTAAAAGATTCATGTGTACTATGTACCACTGTGAATAAAATATGTATTTATGAGATTTGCATTGCATTAATTTTTTTTCACATTTTACGCAACATCCCTACTTTTATCCAAATTGGGGTTACACAACCAAAATATCTTCCTTCATCTTCGAACAATTAAATGGTGTTTTCTAAACAGCTGTACAGTTTTACTCCCAGCAGGCAGCCTCTGTGGTTCTCAGTCAAATAAACTTCAGCTCAGAAAGGCCGATTGTCGGACGGGTGTTTTTATGAGGTCTGACATCCGCGCTCAGCATTCTTTGTCCACGCACAAATCATCAAATTTCATTATCCCCACTTCATCTTCATGCAGAATCACTTCTCCTGCCTCGCTCTAATCTCCCGCTTTGTTCGGCCCCTCTCAGACAATCTTTTTCTGGTCTTATTGCTCACATTCTTCAAAGTGAGCGCTCTGAATTCATTTATGGACCGACTTTAATTATCTCGTTTGGATGAATGTCTTGCGAGTCACCACTTATACCTTCTCCACATTTCATTATGACTTATTCATGCCTGTTCTCATAACTTAGGCTTGTCAAACCATTTTTCACAGTTTCAGCTCTTTTTTTTTCCCTTTCTGGCTGAAAAAGCAGATTTTTATGCTCACCATGTTGTCATTTTTGATTCATAACTGGACATGGCTCTGTGGGAACAACTTCCTCCAGCACTTAAAAATAAAATCTATGTAAACCATGTTATTTTTTAGCATGTTGGCTAGAATAACCTTGGTATTCATGAGGAAGAAGCTTCTTGATTTGTCAGAACTGAACGGTGTGTATCATTAGAGGTAGAATGTCAGGATTGGATTTTGTGTTTTTGTGATTAGGTCTTGCTTCGTGATTTTTTTTTCCGTCTTAGTTCATTTTCTGCTCCATTCAGTCAGCCTGCCACGCCCACTCTCACCTGTTCCTCATTTGTATTCAGTCCACATGTCTCCACTCACCCATCAGCCGTGCTCTATATACAGACGTCCCCTGATTTTTAACAGGGTTATATTCTTACAACACATGCAAAATGGGAAAAATCACAAAATTTTAAAGTGGTTTTTAAAAAAAAAAAACCAAGATGAAATGTGTGAACATGTGAGAGAGGGCAGACACTGCATTGGCGATGTTGAAAAAAAAATCTTAGAGGTGCATCAAATCTTTGTCCTCAGTGATTTTTTTATTTTTTACCCATGAGATAATTATCTGCAGCACCTAACCCCATTTTCTCTGACTCTAAATAAAAAAAAAACTGCTTAAAAGTGTTTGTGCTGCAGCTGTCTGATTGTGTATAATTATTCTCAGCTGCTCTCTTCTAACACTGTAATATTTATCTCAGTGTTGCTTGTTAGCTTGATACGATTTTGTTTCTACAAAATTACAGCAGTCTGAAAATATAACTTTTGTGTGGTATTTTTTTTACTTCTGATCTCACAAACAGCTGCAAAGATGGAGACAATGTAGAGAAATTACAAGCTAATTAGCTGTTAGCTAACTAGCTATGAAGCTACAATTACAAGCTTAATGGGAGATTTTTCTTGGCCGCTGCTGCAAAAGGAGGGAAAAAAATGTAAAAGCCTGTGTTTGTTCATTTGTTTGTTAGCAAAATATCCTACAACCACTAAATGGATTTGAATGAAACTTCAGGAGAATTAGTTTACAACCAGATAATACCAAATGAACATATCATTGGATTTTTGAAGTGTTGTGGGGGGAATAAAAGCAGAATAATAGATGTGCACGAGACCCAAATAAGACATGATGAGCAGAAAAACAGAAGAAGGTGAGAAATGTATGAAGGTCATTGAAAAGCAGCAGGCTTGTTCAATTCTCCTCGAGGACTGCTCTTCAAAGTGAGATGAGACTCTTTTCTTGAGCACAGACCCCAAAATAGAACAAGACGGAGAGAAAAATGAAAGAAAGCTGCGTATGAATTGTTCACTCTGTAAGTTGGGATGAAATCTTTGGGAAATTGTAGGTCATAACCTTTTTTTGGCTGAATAATAAGAGCAGATTTTTGGTAATGTTTATGCTAAGACATTTAAAAGTAACTTTATCTTTCTTCTTGTGTTTCTCTTTCTCATCCTCCCTGCCCTCAGACAGTAACTTTGTCCTGGGGAATGCTCAAGTCCAGTCCCTCTACCCCATCGTCTACTGCTCGGACGGCTTCTGCGAGCTGAGCGGCTTCGCCCGCGGCGAGCTGATGCAGAAGAGCTGCATGTGTCACTTCCTGTACGGCGGCGAGACCAGCGACCGCATCACCTCGCAGATGCAGAAGGCTCTGGACGAACGCCGCGAGTTCAAAACTGAGATCATTCTGTACAAGAAGAGCGGTAAAGGCTGCAGGACGCTGTCAAACCTGATCACTCTCAACGTACAAAGAATTTAGTGACAAATACTGACTCAGTTGTGCTCTGATTTCCCCTTTTTACAGGCTCCAAGTTCTGGTGCTTATTAGACATAGTTCCCATCAAGAATGAGAAGAGCGAGGTGGTTCTGTTCCTGGTGTCACACAAGGACATCACAGAAAATAAGGTCCTGGACCGTGGCAGTGAATCTGACACTGGTGAGTAGGAGCAGGAGAAAGAAAGAAAAGTCCAATTCTACTTTAAATGACATGAAATGATTCAGACTCTGCAGCCAAGGATTTATTATGGTTTTATTGTTGATAAAAAGCAGCTCGCTGGTGTCATCCTGAAGGTGTAGAAAACCATTGCTTCTGTTTTCTTACGCTACTGTCCGAAATATGATTAAATCAAAGAAATTAGATTTTCTGCAAAAATACAGAGTGAACACTGAGCACTGTCTGACTCTGCTGAAATTACATCAGTAAAGCTAAATGATGTAAAACACTAGCAAAAAGCCATTAGACAAAGCTCAAATTAAAAGCTTCAAGTGGATAACGCAAGCAAAAAACAAAAAGGAGCTGAGGTGGGGGCTCCAATCACATGACTTGGACTCGAATCAGACTCGAGTAATTTATTTTAAGGCTTTAGACTTGACTTGAAAAAATGTTCAGAGACTTAGACTTGACTTTGACTTTTACACCAATAGCTTGGGACTTGAATTGGACTTGA